TGCACGTGTGTGCGTGCGTGGTGTGTGCGTGGTTGTCGTGGTGGTGGTGGTTGGTGGTGGTGGTGGTGGTGGTGGTTGGTGGTGGTTGGTAGGTGGTGATGGTGGTGGTGGTTTTGGTCTGGTGGTGTGGTGGTGGTGCTTGGTTGGTGGTGGAGTTGGTACTGGTGCTGGTGCTGGTGGTGTTGTGGTGGTGGTCGGTGGTGGTGGTTGTGGTGGTGGTGGTGGGTGTTTGGCGGTTGCGGCAGCGGTGTGGCGGGCGATGGATGTATGGGTGCGCGAGAAAAAGGCCCGCGCTGGGGCGAGAACGCCATCCTGAACGACGGAGGCCAAACATCGATCCGAAAATGAGGCCCACGCTGCAGCGGGAGCACGATTCGGAGCGATTCGGGAGCAGAAATGAGGCTGGCGCCTCAACGAGGGCAGCATTTTGGGAACAAATGACGCCGGTGCCTCAGCGAGAGTCGTTTCCCGGGATTTCCCGGGGATCCTGTGTGTAAAAAAACAGTACGCGGAGGGTGCGCGGCCATCACCCGGACGCCATCAGGGGAAGAGGGGGAGTATTTTCATATTGAGTAATTGTTGAGGAGGAGGAGGCGGCGGAGGAGGAGGAGGAGGAGGAGGAGGAGGAGGAAGAGGAGGAGGAGGGGGAGGAGGAGGAGGCGGCCCCGCTGTTGGGCCCGCGCGGCGGCTCTCTCCGCCGCCGCCTGGGGTCGAGGCTTGAGTTTTTTTCGGCCCAGATGTCCGAGGAGTTTTGTTTCCGCCGGCTCTGAGAGGGGGGTTGTCGTGGTTCCCCATCTCCTGGGATGGGGCTCTTGTGATGACTCGGACGGCTCCGAGAAGAAAAGCCCGCCTCCTCCTCTTCTCCTCTTCCTCGTCTTTGCCCTCGCCAGGGTGAGTCGCTCCCACTCGGACTCGCTCATGCTCCGTCATATTCGGACCCGCTCGCACTCAGACTCTCTTGCACTCAGACTCACTTCTACTCAGACTCACTGGCACTCATATTCATTCACAGTCAGACTCACTCACACTCAGACTCACTCATAATTGTTTAGACTCAGTATGCTCATCATCACTCACACTCAGACTCACTCACTTTTCGACTCACTGACTTTTGGACACGATCGCGTTCCGACTGAGTCGCACGCCTCTCATACTCAGGCCCAGACTCAGACTCACGCATACTGATCGGTGGTCCAATGCTCACCGCGCCACAGCAGGCGTAGCATTTAGGCACCCCAAGGAGGGGGCGCCAAGGGTGGGGGACACCCCGGGATTCGCGCCAGGATTGTGGGGACGTCTCAGGCGGTTTGCCTGCTTGCGTGTCCAACACCTTCGGCGTTCGGAGCAATGTTTGAGGATGTCTCAGGCGAGGCACTTGTTTCAGCACTCCTAGAGGGGGGCGCCAGCGGTGGGGACACCCAGGATTCGTGCCCAGGCTGTGGGGATGTCTCAGGCCGTTTGCCTGTTTGCATGCCCAGCATCCTCAGCGTTCAAAGCAAATGATGAGGATGTCTCAGGGTGGTCGCCTGTTTCTGCCCTCCCCCAGACTTTTCTGTTTGGTGGTCCAAATGCCCACCGCGTTATAGCAGGAGTGGCACTTGGGCACCCCAAGGCGGAGCCGCCAGAGGTGGAGACACTCCAGGGTTCGCGTCCAGTTTGTTGTGATGTCTGAGAGGTCTGCCTGTTTCTGCCACCCCCCAGATTTTTTCCCGACCATCCTGTGGTGTTGGGTTCTAGTTTTGAAGAGACAGCGCCCCGCGTTCCTTCCTCCCGCTGCCCCCCCTCCCTTTCCCCATCATCAGCATCATCGTCACAATCATCACCATCGCCCATCATCCATCAACATCATCATCTGCAGCATCATCCTCATCCACATCCTACCCCTCATCATCATCGTCAAAATCATCATCGCCTCCACCACCCATGTCGGCACAGCCCTCACACGTATCGTGGCCCCACAGGGAGCTCCAACTAAGGTCCCAGTGGCGCAGCTTATCCTGTCACACACACACACACCTCACATGTTCCGTGGCCCCACACGGAGCTCCCACTAAGATCCCAGTGGCGCAGCTCGCATGGTGGTGCCGCCCTTTTTTCGTACACCCTTAACGCATTTCGTGGCCCCATAGGGAGCTCCAACGAAGGTCCCAGTGGTGCAGATCGCATGGTGGCGCGCCCGATTTTGGCACACCCCGCACACGTTTCGTGGCCCCATAGGGAGCTCCAACTAAGGTCCCAGTGGCGCAACTCGCATGGCGGCGCCGCTTTGGTACACCCCTCACACGTATCGTGGCCCCATAGGGAGCTCCAACTGAGGTCCCAGTGGCGCAGTTCGCATGGCGGCGCCGCCCCATTTTAGCACACCCTCACACGTTTCGTGGCCCCACAGGGAGCTCCAATTAAGGTCCCAGTGGCGCAGCTCGCATGACGGCACCGGCCCATTTTGGCACACCCCGCACACGTTTCGTGGCCCCATAGGGAGCTCCAACTGAGGTCCCGGTGGCGCCGCTCGCATGGCGGCGCCGCCACTATTTGGCACACCCCTAACACGTTTCGTGGCCCCATGGGGAGCTCCAACTAAGGTCCCAGTGGCGCAGTCCGCATGGCCCCGCCCCCTTATTTATCTCTGTCCCGTGGGCTCGCCCTGGGCCGTCGGCTGTCCGGCGCGCTGCTCCCTTTGCCGACATCGCCCAGGCGTGATCCTGGATTGCGGCCGCCGCAAGGTCGGGAACGGCGAGAAGGAGGACGACGACTGGTGGCTGGAGCTCTACGCGCTGCTCTCGCGCGCTACGCGCCACGAGGACCTCCTACTCATGCGGGCGCCGCGCATCTAATTATTCCTGGCAGCTTGCGGAAACAGCTGGAGCAGTTTGCCGCGCGCACGAAGCGGCGCAGAAGGGAAGCGACGGCCCTCGCCAGGGAGCTGGGCTTCACCGAGTTGATCCACGAGGCTTGACCTGATGAGCGACCCGCCCGAGCCTCGCCGTCTCTCGACGGTCTGACGGTTTGGCCTCGCGCGCGTCGCGGGGGCCCTCTTTGGGCGACCGGCGCGCGTCGCGGGGGCTCCATGCTGCGCTCTGCCCGCGCTCCCGTCGTCGCTGTGCCCAGCGGCCGGAGACTTGCCCGTTGTCAGCCTGCCTGCTAGCTCTCTCTGCTCCGCGCCGTGGACGACTCGCGCGCGTCGCCGGGGCCCTTCCGGGGCGACCGGCGCGCGTCGCTGCCCCGACGTGGGCGCCTGCGGGCGACGAGGGAGACAGAAAAGGGGCGAAGCGGGCGCGACGCTCGTGAGGGGCGCGCCGACAGGGGCGACGACACTCGTGCGCGTAGACTCGCGCGCGCGCGGGCTCATTCACAATCAGACTCGCTCGCTCTCGCGCTCCCCCGCTCTCAGTCCCGCGCGCAGGCCTACCGTCTTCGTTCGCGTCGAGTGCCCCGCCGCGCATTTGGGCGCGCCCCTCGCGCGGTCCGTGGCCCCGTAGGGGGCGCGGGCGAAGATGACATATATAATTGCGGTGTTCACAACGGAATATGGTTGGGGTCCTTCGCCAGGATATTTGTTTGGGGGGTCCAACGGGCATCGCGATATAGCAGGCGTGGCGTTTGGGCCCCATGGTGGAACCGCCAGGGGCGGGGACACTTCAGGATTCGCGCTCAGATGGGGGGGGGTCTCAGGCGGTTTGCTTGTATCTGCCCCCGCAGATATCCTTGGGGCGCTGCCGCCCGCTGGGGAATTCAGAGGCAACTGATTCAATTGTGCGTCGGTGGTGCTTTTGAGCTCTCTTAGACGGTCTTTGACCTTTCAAGAAACACCATTCCAATTGCAACTCTGGGGCTGGACGAAGGGGCTGGATAGGGAAAGGGGGGCGTACGATGGTGCATGCAGCTGGATTTGGCCCCGCCGCCCGGCCCATTCCTCGATGCATGGGCGCATCCTGGCGCCAGGAGACTCCAGGAGAACCAGCTATTCGAGTTGATTATCTACCCTACCCTTTGCTATCCTACCCTGTCGCCCCCCCGAACATTTGGGGCCCCACGAACGGAGCGACGAGAACAATTGACAAGTGCTCAATTGAAGCAGTGCCGAAACGTCGTGGTTTGCCAATAGGCCCACCCTAGAATACTCTGAGAACCTCTGTGGCCTGCGCGACATGTTCTCATCACATGTCAGATTTATGTTTTTTGTTTTAAGCAACACATTGGACTTATGCTATGAGAACATTGTTTTGGTAATACCAACGTTTTTTTGGTTCTAAGGGAACGTCGTGGTCAGCTGTAGGAATGCCCGGACGGTCGGCCCCTACCCAATCCACGGCGCGGACATTTTCGCGGATGCCGTCCGCACAGGGCCGCGCGCCAGCCGCCCTCGTCTCCCGCGCGGTGCGGTGCGCCTCCACGCGGGGTGCTCCTGCTGCTGCTGCTGCTGCTGCTGCTGCTGCTCCTCCTCCTCCTCCTCCTCCTCCTCCTCCTCCTCCTCCTCCTCCTCCTCCTCATCCTCATCCTCTTCCTCATCCTGTTCCTCCTCCTCCTCCTCCTTCTCCTCCTCCTCCCCGTCCTCCCCTCGAGTCGGGCTCCTTTCGGCGGCGAGCGGGGATGCTATAAGATTTCTTGGTGCGTGCGTCGCCCCGGGGGGCCGACGCACACATAGTATGAGTATGTTGGGGTGCCGCCGAGGGAAGTGAGAAGGAGACGGCTTTCTCAGAAGGCGGCGGGGCTTCTCAAGAGGCCGGGGAACCGGAAGGCTGTCTCAGGAGTTCTGCCCTCTGTCACTTCCCCCCCGCGCTCGCCGCCCCTCCCCTTTTCTTAGCCGCCCAGCCTTGTAGAAGAAGCCATAGCAGAGGCCTGAACTTCCGGAGGTCGCGCGGAGTTCTCTCGGGTCGGCGCTGGGCCCCCCCGGCGGCGCCTCCCTGCACCCGCACCTTTGGGGCGTGTTCCGCGCGCCGGAGAAGGCTATGGGAAACTGGAAAGGGCAGCCGAGGAGGAGGAGGAGAAGGGGGAGGAGGAGGAGGAGGAGGAGGAGGAGGAGGAGGTCGGAGGAGGAGGAGGAGGAGGGAGGCGTTGAGGAGGGAGGAGGAGGAGGAGGAGGAGGAGGAGGCAGGAGGAGGAGGAGGAGGAGGAGGAGGAGGAGGAGGAGGAGGAGGAGGGGAGGAGGGGAGGAGGAGGAGAGGAGGAGGAGGAGGAGGGAGAGGAGGAGGAGGAGGGGGAGGAGGAGGAGGAGGAGGAGGAGGAGGAGGAGGAGGGGAGGAGGAGAGGAGGTGGAGGAGGAGGAGGAGTGAAGGGGGAGGAGGGGGAGGAGGAGGAGGAGGAGGAGGAGGAGGAGGAGGAGGAGGAGGAGGAGGAGGAGGAGGAGGAGGAGGAGGAGGGGGGACCCAGCGCCGACCCGAGCAAGCCGCCCGGGCCTCCGCCGCCCACTGCTGCCGTACGCAGTGGTTGCGTGTCCAGCGCACTCGTGCTCAGCCTGGACATGCCTTCTGCCTGCGTTGTCCTTGGCCTTCCATGCGACCCTCTGGCCTGCCGATGCGCCGTCCAGGTTCGTTTTTTTTTTTTTTGTGTGTGTGTGTGTGTGTGTGTGTGTGTGTGTGTGTGTGTGTGTGTGTTCGTTCTTGCCCTCCACGGCTGGCCTCGGCCAGCCTGGCTGCTCCTGCCTGTCCTCCTCCCCGTCTTCCGTCCGCCGCCCGCCCCGGGGCTGCTCCGCTCGCGCCCCCTCTCTCTCTCTGGCGGCCCCCCCCCCCCCGCCTCGGGGGCAACGATTGGGGGGGCGAGGCATAGGGGGGGATGCATCCACCCCCAATCGCCCATGGATCGCCGATAGGGGCCCGGTAGCCCCAACCCGCCCAGGAGGGTGCGGACACACTATCGTGGGTCTATCGCCGATCCATCGGCGATGTATCGCCGATTCCAGGTCGATGCGTCCCCCCCTTATGCCAGTCCCCCCCTATCGTTGCCCCTCACCGGCCCCCCCCCCCGCACGCAGCCGAGGCTGGGGCAGCCGCCGAGGCCGCGCGGAGGCAGCGAGGCGGCGGAAGAGGCAGCCAGCCCCGAGGAGGGAGGGCTGCGGCCGCAGGTCGTGGGAGCCTGGTCTGCCCTCGTACAATTCCGTCTTTAGCGCGTCGACCAGCGTCGATCAGCCTCTGGAGTCGAAGGGATAGCGCCGATTTCGCGTCGGTCAGCGCCGATGAGCGCCGATCCATTGTCGATCAGCGTCGATTTAGCGTTGGTGATCGTCGATTAGCAAGAGCCGACAAGATGGTACTGGAGGCTCTCATGAGTTGTCACCGAAGGGGACCAGGAGTGCAGTGGGTTTGCGTTGCGCTGACGCTGCGGCGGCCCCGGCGCGGGGGTTCAAGGTTGAGCGTCGCAAGTTGCCTGGACTCGGCCAACGTCGAAGGATCTGCGCTATCGGGAAGCGGCGATCGTTCCAGGCTCACCGTGAATCTGCCTCAGGAGGATCGATGACCAAACGATCCCAGCAGAGCACCCAAACAGCGATATGGCGGACTGGATCCTTCACCCTCCTCGATCCTCGATTGTTTCCCTCATCCTCGAGCCCCCCTCGATCCTTGATCCTCGATGCTCTTCGGCGACTTCGCTCTCCGACGCCTCGCGCACTTTCCTGGCACCGAAGCTGGGCCTCGAAGATGTGCCTGCTCTTGGACCCGGCCCAGCTGTTGAGCGTGTCGGCGTCGACCTCGTCCGAGGGCTTGCGCTATTAGGTTTCTATCCTCGCGCCCAAGCTGAGGTGTTAGGGCAACGAGTCCTTGACAGGAGAGAATGCGAGGCGGCGTTTTTTTCGGACGAAGGCTAACTTGTGTGTTTTTACCTAACAGCGGCGAAGACTGATAGGTTTCTAATAGACTTAAAAGAGAGCAGCACATTACTCCACAGGGGGGTCTGGGCAGCCGTTGGGGAGCGTTGGGGGGCCGTTGGGGTTTGCCGGGGGGGATCGTTTTTCGCATACAGTCACACACTTCGTGCTCTTCGACCTCCCAGAACTCCATTCCCGGGCCACATTCTGAATGCCCGGAGCCAACTGTAGGCCACTTCGTGCTCTTCGAGTTCCCAGAACTCCATTCCTGGGCATGATTTTGAATGCCCGGAGCCAACTGTAGGCCACTTCGTGGTCTTCGAGTTCCCAGAACTCCATTCCTGGGCATGATTTTGAATGCCCGGAGCCAACTGTAGGCCACTTCGTGGTGTTCGAGTTCCCAGAACTCCATTCCTGGGCATGATTTTGAATGCCCGGAGCCAACTGTAGGCCATTTCGTGTTCTTCGAGTTCCCAGAACTCCATTCCCGGGCCACACTTTGAATGCTGAGGCAGGCTGATGCTGAGGCTGAGGCAGGCTGAGGCTGAAGGCAGACTGAAGCTGAGGACGAGGCTGAAGGCAGACTGAGGCTGAGGCTGAAGCAGGCTGAGGCTGAGGCTGAGGCAGGCTGAGGCTGAGGCTGAGGCAGGCTGATGCTGAGGCAGGCTGAGGCTGAGGCTGAGGCTGATGCAGGCTGAGGCTGAGGCAGGCTGAGGCTGAGGCAAGGCTGAAGGCAGACTGAGGCTGAGGCTGAAGCAGGCTGAGGCTGAGGCTGAGGCAGGCTGAGGCTGAGGCTGATGCAGGCTGATGCTGAGGCAGGCTGAGGCTGAGGCTGAGGCTGATGCAGGCTGAGGCTGAGGCAGGCTGAGGCTGAGGCCAAGGCTGAAGGCAGACTGAGGCTGAGGCTGAAGGCTGAGGCTGAGGCTGAGGCTGAGGCAGGCTGAGGCTGAGGCAGGCTGATGCTGAGGCAGGCTGAGGCTGAGGCTGAGGCTGATGCAGGCTGAGGCTGAGGCAGGCTGAGGCTGAGGCCGAGGCTGAAGGCAGACTGAGGCTGAGGCTGAAGCAGGCTGAGGCTGAGGCTGAGGCAGGCTGAGGCTGAGGCTGAGGCAGGCTGATGCTGAGGCAGGCTGAGGCTGAGGCTGAGGCTGATGCAGGCTGAGGCTGAGGCAGGCTGAGGCTGAGGCCGAGGCTGAAGGCAGACTGAGGCTGAGGCTGCAGGCTGAGGCTGAGGCTGTGGCAGGCTGAGGCTGAGGCTGAGGCAGGCTGAGGCTGAGGCTGAGGCAGGCTGAGGCTGAGGCTGAGGCAGGCTGAGGCTGAGGCTGAGGCTGATGCAGGCTGAGGCTGCGGCAGGCTGAGGCTGAGGCCGAGGCTGAAGGCAGACTGAGGCTGAGGCTGAAGCAGGCTGAGGCTGAGGCTGAGGCAGGCTGAGGCTGAGGCTGAGGCAGGCTGAGGCTGAGGCAGGCTGAGGCTGAGGCTGAGGCTGAGGCAGGCTGAGGCTGAGGCAGGCTGAGGCTGAGGCCGAGGCTGCAGGCAAACTCAGGCTGAGGCTGAAGCAGGCTGAGGCTGAGGCTGAGGCAGGCTGAGGCTGAGGCTGAGGCTGAGGCAGGCTGATGCTGAGGCAGGCTGTGGCTGAGGCTGAGGCTGATGCAGGCTGAGGGTGAGGCAGGCTGAGGCTGAGGCCGAGGCCGACGGCAGACTGAGGCTGAGGCTGAAGCAGGCTGAGGCTGAGGCAGAGGCAGGCTGAGGCTGAGGCTGAGGCAGGCTGATGCTGAGGCAGGCTGAGGCTGAGGCTGAGGCTGATGCAGGGTGAGGCTGAGGCAGGCTGAGGCCGAGGCTGAAGGCAGACTGATGTTGAGGCTGAAGCAGGCTGAGGGCGAGGCTGAGGCAGGCTGAGGCTGATGCAGGCTGAGGGTGAGGCTGAGGCAGGCTGAGGCCGAGGCTGAAGGCAGACTGATGTTGAGGCTGAAGCAGGCTGAGGGCGAGGCTGAGGCAGGCTGAGGCTGAGGCAGGCTGAGGCTGAGGCTGAGGCAGGCTGAGGCTGAGGCTGTGACTGCGACTGCTGTTGCCACTGCGACTGCCATCGCGAATGCGACCACGACTGCGAGAACAGCAGAATTCTACAACAGGATTCTTATCTGAATCTTAAGGGGAATGCTTCCAGATATGCTCCTACACATCGCTGTTAGGTTGCTTTGCCGGGATAATTGATGTGATGCATGTTTAATGCGATGACTTCGTTAGTCGGTATGGGCTCCTCCTCGATCCCCGATGCTCCTCGATCCTCGATGCTCCTCGATCCCCTCCTCGATCCCCTATCTTCCTCCTCCTCCTCCTCCTCCTCCTCCTCCTCCTCGATACTCCTCGATCCTCGACCCTCCTCGACCCTCCTCGATCCTCCTCAGCCTCGACATGAGCAGGAGCAGGACATACATACATTAAGAATGTGATTCATCATCTGCATTCGCATCAGGATGCAAATCATGATGCTAAATACTGATATTGTGTAGGCTATACATGCTAAGACCATAGTAAGGATGTGCAGAAGGCTTCGGCCCTTGATAGGCTTAATCCTGAGGACTGAAGACGTATGATTCAAGTGGCCTGGGGACTCTCCAATTCGTGCCTCGCGGCACGGTGGCATACATGTATCGAAGACGCCTACGGCGAATCACCGCCGCCCCCTGCCCTTTCGGAAACGCCGATGCGGCCGACTGCTGTGGCCAGAGGTCTGCCAAGTTATTGGGCCATATGTTCCCCGAATCGGTCTTTACAGCCTTCGGGGAACACGTGGGGGAGGCCTCTTGGGCCGTCATGGGGCCATCTTGGAGGCCTCTTGGGTGCTGTTGGGGCGATGTTGGGGACCTCATGGGCCGTCTGGGGCCGTCGGAGAGCTGAAAAGAAGAACATGCCAAAATCCTTCAAAAACCTAAGGAAAATCAATGATTTTAACCTATTCGGGCCTTCCTGGAGGGCGTCTTGGAGGGCTCTTGGGCCGTCTTGGAGGCCTTTTGCCGGCCTTTTGGGCCGTCTTAGACCATCTTGAGGCCATCTTGGACCGTCTTGGGTGCATCTTGGAGCCATCTTACCCGTCTTGGAGGCCATCTTGGCCGTCTTGGAGGCATCTTGGAGGCCATCTTGGGCCATCTTGGCCGTCTTGGAGGCCATCTTGGGCGTCTTGGAGGCCTCTTGGGCCGTCTTGAGGCCCTCTTGGGGCCTTCTTGGGGGCCTCTTGGGCCGTCATGGGGCCATCTTGGAGGCCTCTTGGGTGCTGTTGGGGCGATGTTGGGGACCTCTTGGGCCGTCTTGGGCCGTCGGAGAGCTGAAAAGAAGAACATGCCAAAATCCTTGAAAAACCTAAGGAAAATCAATGATTTTAACCTATTCGGGCCTTCCTGGAGGGCGTCTTGGAGGGCTCTTGGGCCGTCTTGGAGGCCTTTTGCGGGCCTTTTGGGCCGTCTTAGACCATCTTGAGGCCATCTTGGGCCGTCTTGGGTGCATCTTGGAGCCATCGTACCCGTCTTGGAGGCCATCTTGGCCGTCTTGGAAGCATCTTGGAGGCCATCTTGGGCCATCTTGGCCGTCTTGGAGGCCATCTTGGGCCAAGTTGGGGCAACAAAGGCATTGACAGATGGATTTTCGGAAACTTGCGGGTGGCCGGCGGGACGGGCCGAAGCCCACTGGGGAGTTCTTTTAGAAAAAGAACCAAAACCAAAACCTGAAACATCCAGCACGCCGTGCACCCCTGTGGCAAGACCACAGGGGGCGGCGGATCGAAGACGCCTACGGCGAATCACCGCCGCCCCCTGCCTTTTTGGAAGCGCCTATGTGGCCGAACGTTGAGGCCAGACCTGCCAAGCTATCGGACCACGTGTTCCCCGAATCGGTTTGGAAAGCCTTCGGGGAACACGTGGGCATCTTGAAGGTCATCTTGGCCGTCTTGGAGGCCTCTTGGGCAAGCTTTGGGCGATCTTTGGGGCTTTTTGGGCCGTCTCGGGCCAGCTTCGAGCCAACTTCGGCCATCTTGGTGGGTTCCTGGCACGTCTGAAGCCGTCGGAAGCCGTTTGGGGGGCCTCTATGGGCCGACTTGGGGCCCGCTTGGAATGCTCCAGGGCCGTCTTGGAGGCCATCTTGGGCGTCTGGGAGGCCATCTTGGGCGTGTTGGAGGCCTCTTGGGCCCTCTTGGGGCCCTCTAGGGGCCATCTTGGAGGCCACTTGGGCCATCA